TTATACATGCTCTCTAGATCTTATGACAATGTATTGTGCTTTACAAGGAAATAAAAAACATAGTTATGTGGGATTTTGTTATATTTGTCTAAATTTATACTCCCTCTATTTTGTATTAATCGCAACACTTTCTTTATTTTATGTTCATTTCATAATAATTGCAATACTTCCTTTTTTTTGGTAAGGACCAATACTATTTTATTAATTCTCTCTAAAAATTAAATATATATCTACTAACTATACTTTAGATTACTTTGTACTTTTGTAATATATAACATTTTCCCTTTAGTCCCCACATTATAAATTAAATCATTATAAAATGGAGGGAGTACTTTTTTTCTAATCTACTTGTTGTAATTTTGAGAGTGATTGGGATATGCGTAATGAAAATCAACTCAATTAATAATGTAACAAAGAGTCAAAGTGATTAAATTCAAAAAGGGAGGATGTGGAAGTGATTATACCATTTAATTCCAAATCATTGATTCTCTTTATTTTGTACTTTAGTGTTGAATTCCAGACGAATCTAACAACGCCTCACATGAGTATATTTTTCGTAATCTATAAAACACAGAAGACAGTCAAAGGAATGTGTGTACATAGTACGGAATATGAAATCTCAAAAGTTTGTTTAAAAAAATATTCCTAAACGTTGTAATTCAAAAAGAACGGAGGATATATATATACAATCAAAAACAAAAAAAAGGCAACACATTGAGTTTGCAGTCTATTCTATACATATGTCTATTAAAAGACACTTCCTTCGTTCTTTTTACATACTTTACCTATTTTGACTTTTGCACTATTCACACACTTACCATTGATAATACATAGTATTATGTACTTTATACTTAACGAAAATATAGTTATGTGAGATCTTATTTGAATCGTCTCAATAAATTTAATCACACATATTTTTTTATTTTTTTTACAATTTTTACTTATTAGCAATTTAAAATATAGATGACTAAATTTATGTATTGACAAACATAATAAATGAAACATGTTAAATAAAAAAAAACGGAGCGGAGAAAGTAATACTTAATTACAAATGAAAGAGAATCCTTCCATGTTTCAAAAAAATAAAAAGGACACAAAAGGTCTAAAGTCAAAAGATGTTACTTACATCTACCCTTTTCACCCAAACCATGTATTTAGAAGGGTATAAATAGTAAAAGTCATGCCGTGCATAAATTTGGAATTGAGTTCTTAGCCATCATTGGTTTAGCCCCTAATATTTGGGACTTATTTTAAAGATTTCTTAGTTTGATTAATTTCAATTTTTTTTTTAACGGAATTTCAATATAGTTCAATTAGATTCAACTCTATAATTAACTTTATACGAAGTACTTAATACTGTACTAAATGAAGCCTGAGCTATGTACGGTTTGTTTGTATTTTATTACAGCTTATATTTTTTTCCTATGTTTGTGATAAAATTTGTTACTTTATTTATTTGTTGTACATAGTATATCATATTATCATTTAATATTTTTATTTTATTTATTTTAATATAAATTGTGAATTTTCTCTCTTTCGTTATAGATTTAGATGAAATTCCTAATATTAAAAGATAATATTTTATATTTATTAATTTAAACTTTAAAAATTCATTCGTCAATTTTATTTTGTTAACGTAGAATTTAATCTTTGAGACGAATAAATGATAAATGATGAACATTTTTTTTTTTGCTAGAAAAAGAGAAAGGGTATACTTTTAATTTCAATGGATTTTTCTTGTTTTTTGTATTTAATTTAAAACTATTTTTTTTTTTGAGAGAAAACTGATAAATTTTTTTTAATTAAACGTGATTTCATTTTTTTTATTAGTATATTTTTATAAAATATTTTATTATAATTACTTGTCACATTTTTATTCTAAAATATCAATTGAACGTGAATTTTATTTTTTTATTTTAATTTTAATAGTATTTTTTTATATGTACGAGATAAGATAAGTTGTTCTTTTCTCTTAGATAAAATTTCCAATTTAAAAAGATAGTATTTTATTTTTATAATAAATTTAAATTTTTAATTTTAATCTTACTTAGTGCTTTAAAATAACAATCCTATGTGGCATAATCCTATACGTAACGTTCTAAAAATACTAATCCTACGTGACGCTCTAACAATTTCTTAAAAAACATAATTCTAGGTGGCTCTCTAAAATCTTGGGAAAAAACTCCCCTTTATATATATATATATATATATATATATATATATATATATATATATATATATATATTTCTTTTTTGAAACAACTCTCCTTTATATAATTTAACGTGATTCATTTTTTTATTAGTATATTTTTATAAAATATTTTATTATAATCACTTGTCATATTTTTATTATTTTATTTATCTAATTCAATTTTTTTTAAAATATCAATTGAACGTGAATTTCATTTTTGTAAGTTTAATAGTATTTTTTTATATATACGAAATAAAATAAATTGTTTCGTTTCTCTTAGATAAAATTTCCAATTTAAAAAGATAGTATTTTACTTTTATAATAAATTTAAATTTTTAATTTTAATCTTACGTGGCGCTTTAAAATAACAATCTTACGTGGCATAATTTTATAAGTAACTCTCTAAAAATACTAATCCTACATGGTGCTCTAATAATTTTTTAAAAATAAAAATTATAAGTGGCTCTCTAAAATCTTTGGAAAAAACTCCCTTTTATATATATACTAGTTTTTGTTAGGTTTTATAGTGATTTCAAACAAGAAAACACTTAAATTTGTGTGGGAACAAAACCTAAAAATAAATGATTACAATGTAATTGTAAAGATCAAATACAACACAATGTATTTCAATCAAGTATTATCAAAGTCTAAAAAATTACAGAAAATTTACAAAGACTACATTAGTGTGAAGTTAATCAAACTTGCCTTTCCTCCAAGCCGATAATTCCTAGCATGAACATGAGAAAACCAATGTCCCGTAAGACTAGATCCTTGATACACTGTCAAAGGCGTGTGAACACTTTCCCAAAGAGGTTTATTTCCCCCACACGACACTTGGGTTAAACCGGAAATCCTCTTTGAGATACAATTGACAGCAATTTCATTCTTAGTACTAGAATCGAAATCAAGATGACAAATTCACCAAAATTGAATTAATTGAAAGAGTTTTCTCACAAAAGTTTGCAAGAAATTTGAGAGAAAAGTGTAGAGAATACTGCTTTTGGGAAGAAGAATAATGTTTTGTCCCTTTCTTTCACGAATTGATGTTTTTTAATAAAAGACTCCACCGTCAGAAAAAACGGTAAAACAGGGAGGTGCGGGCGCTCCACCATGAGGCGCGGGCGCGCCACCAGGTGGAGCGGGCGCTTCTAATATAGGAGCAGGGGCTCCTCACAATATCTGCAAGAAATCACAAAAAGGCAGTGAGGGGCGCGGTTTAGGCGCGACCAGCAGCGCGGGCGTGCCAATCAGGACGCGCGGTCGCGCCATCCTCACCCTTCCAATTTGACAAATTCCAGAGAGGTACGCGGTTTAGACGCGCTCTCTGCGCGGCCGCGCCAGACTTGCGCGGGCGCTCCTTCATGGTCGTGATCGCGCAACCATCAACACTCTAAATATACAACAGTTTTGTGCCCGGTCGATGCCCAGATTGTTGATAAAATTTCAGTATATACTTTTTTACTTAATGTTAAATACGGTCTTACAATCCCTTTTGATAATGTAGGATATTTAGACAAATGATGTCATATCGCTTATTTAATTAAATAATAGTGTACTTTTTGTAGTTTTGTTTGTGAATATATATGTTATTATTGACTTGAAAATATTTTTATATAACTTAATTTGTTTTTTTTTTTTTACTAATTCTCTATTTTTTTTAAATAAATTAAATATACAACCTCCGTTTCTAAAAGTTCGACTCACTTACTATTCATGGGTCAAAATTAAATAACTTTGACCACATTTAATGACTTATACAATATAAATAAATTAGCATATGAGATCTTATTAGATTCCCCTTATTATAAATTTTTCAAATATCAACTTTTTATAATTTTCACTTTTACATAGCCAAATATATATATATATAGTCAAAGATGTTCATTGGAGACCGTGCAAATGCAAAGTGAGTTGAATTTTCAGGAGCGGGGGGAGTATTATAAATGGATCTTATTTTAAAGAACTTCTTAAAACGAATTTTATGATGGAAATAGAACCGAGTTATATGATATTTATTAAAAGTTATGAATAATTTTACATATATGAAGTATTAGAAGTATATGGATAACAAAACACTATACAACATTTTTTTTTTAGAAAAAATATTCAAAATTCACTTACTTAATATCATATGTGTCACAATAACATTTATTTTTCGCCTACATGGCGAAAAAATAAAATGTCAATTGTCACTGTCTCGTGGCCGACTGCGAGACCGACTTTATATATTAGTGATATGATATATTAGATTATTGAATTAGTTTTGAACTATTATGCACATGTTAGAAAACATGAGTCATATTTCACCCAAAAAAAAAAAAAAAAGTCATAGGATTTCAAGCTTTATAATACATTTACTCTATGATTAACTTTATACGTAGTACTTAATACTGTATTATTGAATTAGTTTTGAACTATTATGCACATGTTAGAAAACATGAGTCACATTTCACCCAAAAATTAACACACAAAAAAAAAAAAAAAAGTCATAGGATTTCAAGCTCTATAATACATTTAATGTGACATAAAGGTCATGAGTTTAAATCTTATCCATCCCATTTTTAAAGTAGAATATTTAACGCTGGGCATAACGAATTTCACATGCATCCACATTTCAAACTCAAAGGGCTTATATGTGAGGGAACGTGATAGAGTATATTCAACTTATATAGTCATTATTGAAGTCCAATATATATATATATATATATATATATATATATATATATATATATATATATATATATATATATATATATTCTTAAAAGAAAAAGACAAAAAAAAAAAAAAAAAAAGACATAGGAAGTATGAAGTAATATTTTCAAATAAAAAAAGAAACTAGTTTTTAGCCCGAATAATGTCCTAGGTCATTATAAAATGAAATTAGAATCGTTATTAAGGTAAATCCTTATTTAATAGCGATTAATTAAATACCCAGTTTAGAAGGTGTAAAGCATAAAAGAGAGGACTAAACTTTAGTCTTTGTTGCAGTTTGGGGACTAAACTTTCACTTGTTGCAGGAGGGGACTCAAACAAGTATTCAGATAGTATTTACCTTTAGTATTAGGTAAACATACATTGAATACTTAAAATGAATTTAAAATATAGTTAATTATTTTTCAAGAGTATTTACCTTTTGTTTTTGTTTTTTTGTTTTTTTTTTTTTTTTTTAGTTTCTTCCTAAGCTTCTCCTATTCTATCACCCAAATCATCAGTTCACTCTCCAAATGGGTCTGCTATGGTGGAAGTGTAAGGACAAGGCATTGGAGGCCATATCACCACCGGAGAATTCTAAATCAAAACCCAGCGAAGCAGTGAAAGGTGTGAACGGAACCGTCGAAGTTCGCTGCACTGGCCCTTGCTGCGTCGAGGCAACCATTTTCGAATTCGGGTCGGTTGCAGCTTCTCAGGCTTGCAGGAAAATGCCTTTGTTTTTAAGAACTCGAGCCTTGCCGTTGGGAAATTCTCCCAACCGATGATTCTAATGCCCCCCAATTTCGGGTTGTATTCTTATCGATCTACTTTTTTTTTTCTTTTTTTTTTTTTCAATGAGATAGGATTAAGTGTTTTCTTGTAACAGTTTACTATGTATAAATTTAGCTGAAATTTGTGATTATTTTGTGGGTGAATTCGAGTTGTGAAAGAGAAAAGAAAACGAGATATGGTTGTTTGGGAGATTGGTTGATGGTTATTGAAAATTGTTATCCTGTAGTTTTGATTTAATATGAATGGATCATTTGAATCATCGAATTTCTTCTGTACCATCCCTCCCATATGTTTCTTGACTAAATTGCTGGAGAGCCATTGTTGAAGAGTGTTGATCAACTACTTTGGAGGAGAGAAAAAAATAAGGAGAATAACAAAAAATTATTAAACTTCTTTTAATTAATTAAACAAATTTAACTAGCCAAAGATTAAACGGGACTCTAATACCATGTTAAATTTTAAGATAATACGAAATGGAACCTAAACGAGACCAAGGAGGTTCCATACTAAAACCAATTGGTGATAGCTTAGTAAGAGTAATACCTCTATCTTAAAAAGTGGAATCATCTCTCCTCTTTTTTCAATATGGGACATTCATAAGTGGGTTTACCATGAATTTCAACAAATTTGAGTAATAGTTAGATTGTTAGGGAATATAATAGAAAAAATTATATAACCTCTTTAAAAACAATAAATTATTATATAACCAATCGTTGTTCAATATAACCCGATGTCACTTTTAGATAATTATTAATAAAAGTTGTCTTGATATCAATTCTACCCTTTTTTTTATATAAAAAAAAAATTCTACCCTTTTTAACTTCTCTATATTAATGGGGGATATAAATACATTTAATTTCAACTAATTCAGAATATTGAATAAGCAACTATAAATCATAATACCAAATAAATGGAGAGTAGAGTATATCCTATAATAGAACTTTATACTTCGTAGAAACAATACGAAGAATTATACCACATCAATGGCATTATGGCAACAAACATGAATTTCCTTACATACAGATCGACATACATAAAATTTATTCTATAGATTGTACAATTTATATATATATATATATATATATATATGTATATATCTATATTTTGGTAAAACTTAGGCGTAGTATAAAACTATAGATTTATATCTATATTACAAAATACAAAGCAAAGCAATGCAACTTAATTATTTATACAACAAAGTTTCCGATCAAATAAACTTGCTGGAAGCGAAACCAGGCATTTAAGCTTAAGTAATATAAGATTCAGGAAATAAGTTAAAGCAATGGAAACTCGAGTTTGATTGCATCAATGGCGTTTTCGCCAGGCCCACACTTGCAACAAACTCCCTCCTTATACTCGCAAACTTTGAACTTCTTGTACAAAGATGGCCGATTTGGTGTGACCAATTCGGTTAAGGGTGTGAGCTCTTCCGTAGCATCCATAGTACAAAATGCTGTCACTGATAACCTATCCTTGGTTAAATTTGTCACCACCCTATGCATTGTACTTTTGTATATCCCATTCGTCAGTACCTATGAAACGGGAACATAGTCACTACACAATATATATATTTTATACATACGTAATAAATTTTATTACGGTATGAATTACTTACTATATATGCACAATAGAATAATTAGTTTTGATTATGTTACGTACGTACCTCACCAAAGTCACCAAAATTGACAAATAGGGCACCTGGAATGACCGGAACCTTGAACCACTGACCATCTTTTTGAACCTCGAGGCCTTCTCGGTCAGCCAAAACTATGGTGAAGATTGAGCCATCTAAATGTGGCTTGGACCCAAGTACATTTTTGGGACGTGGACATTTCGGGTAAAGGGTAAATCTTGACAATATTACCCCTTCTTTCTCTAAACAGAAGCTGTCTTCTTTTATGTTCAGGGACTTTGCCGCTGCTTTGTAAAGACCTTGTGCCAAATTTATGATTTCTTTGGAATATTCGTCCACAATTTCTCTGTCACAAACAATAACAAAAATCAATCGTTAAATATTATCCCTAAAAAAAAGATTATATTTTAGAATGTTACTATAATAGGTCTATATAACAAATTAACAATACTAACAATCTAACATGGTGTTACATTAATTTGTATGATATGTTATATAAAAATTGTACTGTACTCTGTATAATATACTCCCTCTGTTTTTAAGGGCTCGTAAAAAAGCTAAGGTTCATAACACAGGGGTCACCTGAAATTCGAGGGGTTCTCAGGCCACGCTTTGAGGTTGCCTTTATTCTTAGGGTACATGGTAAGAAATAGCCTGTCATTCCAATTCATCTTTTGTTGATCCAACCCTTGACAAACAGCATCAGTGTCATACCCTTGGAAGATATCATCTGTGTAGTATTTCATCTTCTCCTCAAAGGGAAGTGAAAAGAATTTCCTTGAAACTTCAATCACCTCTTCTAGAAAAGAGCCTTCTATTCCATGATTTTTCACCTTATCATAAAAACGCCAATTATTTTAATTAAACAAATCTATTGAGTTTTATTATTTGAAAGTTATACACTAAAATTTAAAGCTTAGTTTTTACTGAAGTAAAAATTTGCTAATTAAGCTAGACTAAAATATATAAAAATAAATAAATAATGACGAAGAAGGATGTGTGTACCAAGAAACAACCCCAGGTGGAGAGAGCTGAACGGAACTTGACGATTTCATCTTGGTCGCCTGAAGAGAGGAGAGAAAGATCAATGAGGAGAGAATCAGTCCATAACTCGGCGACATCTTTGGATTCGGGAAAACCATCTTTGTGCAAGAATTGTTCTGGTATTTTATCTTGTACAGTTTGAGCTATCTTCTGAACAAGTCTTGATGCAAGATCATCGTTGGGGAGACAACAAACAGGTGCAGCCATTTGTTATAGTGTGGTAGGATTGGCTTTTGGTTTTTTAGTTTTCAGTTGCACTTTCACTACAAGGATATCATCTATATATTTATATAAACAAAGTATGTATGTAGGTACGTAGGTAATAACTAATAACCTAAATTGCGTGGTAAATTCTCACAAGTAAAGGTTTTGTTCTTTTTGCCTTATAAGAAAATTAATACTTCGTAAATAAGTATCCAGCTAAGTTAAGATTTTTTTTTTTTTTTTTTTTTTTTTGGGGAACAGCTAAGCTAAGGTTCATTGAGTGTCAAAGTAGGTTAAGAGACATATAATCTAAAACTGAAATTTGAAAAAAAAAAAAAAAAAAAAATAGAAAAAAGAAAAAACAAGTACCGTACAAAAATCTGCATAGCTAGTCCAACACTTAGCATACATATCAAACATTTCTCCTTCTTTCCTTGATATAGGTAAATTTTTTCCTTAATGTATCTAATTACATAACAAAATTTTAAAATTCTTTACTAAATTTAAATTTTAATATAGGTACAATGAAACGGAAACTTAGCTTTCGCTCCATCCTTCTTTAAATTATAATCCTCATAGTCTCATAGGCTTGGGCATGCATATTAAGAGTAAATTATTAGAAAAAGATGAGCCATTTCCACAAATAATGCTTTATTGTAAACTAATTTCATATATACGTTGGTTTAAAAAATATTTTCCACCATACCGTCCACGTAGACTCGGTTATTAAGTTCGTTTTTTTAATCGTAGCTAGTATTAAACCGCTAATATTGATTGCGGTTCTAGCTTAAATAGAACCGCTAATAGTGTTAGAGGCTCTTCAAATAGAACCTCTAATACCATTAGCGGTTCTATTAGCTAGAACCACCATCACCATTATCGAATCTAAGCTGAAGGTACTTTGTATTAAGGGTCAAGAGTGGTGAATCCAATTCCCGCCCATGGTGTCTCCGTGGATAGCGGCAACCATGGAGGTGATGAATCCGGCACCAATTTGGAGTAGGGTAGTCAGGATTTTGGAGTACCACTAGTGGAAATGGAGTATCGTGCTTTTTGACGCAATGAGTATCGTGCTCTAGAAGATGGGGAAAGACTTTGTTTTTTTTTGTTTTTTTGACAACTCACAAGAAGACTTTGAAATATCTATGGCTGGAGTATTTGTCAAATGAAAACCGCAAATGACAATAGTAAGGAACCGCTAATGTCACTAGCGGTTTTAATAAATGAACCGCTATTATAATTAGCGGTTTTTAGCCTCGGATAATTATAAAAACACGAACCTTACACTACTCCTACGTGAACGATATTTTGAAAAATAGTTTTTAAACCAACTTATATGAGGAATTAGTTTATGTTTTAGCATTATTTACGGAAATCACTCTAAGATAGGTTTTTAGGTATCAAATACAAAGTATATATGTAATTTGCATAACCCTTCCATGGTCTGAACTAAAGCTTTAGCTAATGATAGATTAGTGAGTAGTGCTAATGCACTTATTTTACTAAACAACATAGAGTCATGAAAACTATAAGTATGTCATACTCATTTTTAACTAACTACTTAACTATGCATCCTTAATTTAATTTTAAAACATCGTAGGTTTTATTAATTAATACATACTAGATATTGAAAAAAATAAGAATAAGGTTTTTTTTTTCTTAAAGTCCCACATTACAAAGAAATGAAGAACGAAAGAGAGTAAGATAGTGTTGGAAGTACCCACAAGTCCACAGCACATATGGTGTGAATGAGTTGGGTTACCCATTAAATTAATAGAATCATTATTTAGGGTCAGGACTAACCAAATGATAATTATTTGAGGACGGATGGAGTATAATTTTTTTTTTTTAATATTTTTTTTTCATGTGTTTAGAGAGCCACAATGGGCGGAGATACGGTGAGAATCGATCTCAGGATCTCCTGCAACTAGGAGGGAAGCTCTAACCACTTGAGCTATCCCTCACTCTCAATATATTAATTATATCTCTATCAAATCACTGCCAAGAATTAGGGTCCCTCGCCCTATTTTTCAATAAAAAAAAATCTTCACTTTATCTCTCATCGTGTCTAAATTGGAATCACTTATTAACTCATCAAAGGATGTTTTATCCTAGCTATTTGGTCATTACGTGCAAATTAGACTCATTGCATCAAGTTATTATCTTGTTTATTAATTAGGATATAGTAGTCTTGTAATTAAGCATAGAACCCTACTCTTTTTGTATCTATCCTCATTAAAATATAACAAATAAAATATTGTACTACCTCCGTTTCTTTTTATATGTAACAAGTGGATATAAAAATATCAATCAATTTGTTGCAATGAAAAGAAACAGAGATGTAATTTTTTAGGTCTAGTATGAGGAAAAGAATAGCGAAAAATGGAAGATGGAAATGTTTGGCTCATTTTTGAGGTAGTAATTTTTTAGGTCTAGAAAGGGAAAAAGAATGGTGCGCAAAGAATGAAGATGGAAATGTTTAGTTCATTTTTGAGTCGGGGACAATACATTAATTACATAAATATCACAATACAAGTATATACTTCGTACATTTTTAGCTCATGAGAGTCATGAGCTCATGACTTAAAGTCTTAGACACTACAACGTACGATAACAGATATTTTCATTTCCATTCAGGTCTAAAATTCTACATAGATATCTTACAAATATAATTTATGGATATTTTTACAATAATTACATCAATAAAAATGTGTGTACTCATGCATATAAGGTCCAGAATTTTTAAGCTAGGTGGGCTGACGATTGAATCAACATATAATAGATAAACTAGTTTAGGTCCCGTGCCATGTATGGTAACGGTAATTTTTAAAAATTAATATCAACTTTTCAATATAATTGGTTATTTTACAAAAATTAAAAAAAAAAAATTAAAAACAAATAAATATACGCACTACTTTGATGTGAATTCTAATCAATAAACAAACAACCATTTTTATTAGTGAAAAAATATGAATACTTTTTTGAAGTAAATTAAAATATGTCGCAAATTATGTTAATATTTTCTATTATAGTCATAAATGTTTGTGTGGAAAGGTATATCAAATCTTTTTTATTTAAAGTAGTTATCTTTGTTACTAACATATATAAAAAATTATTCTTGTATAAGATTTTATACTATAATTGAATTTTTTTTCCGAAAAAAATAAAAATAAAAAACTACTAAGGACACACCAGGAAATGACACGTGTCATTACTGGTGCGTCTTTTAGTATATAGGTTATTATTATTATTGATAACTTATTATTATAATATTCTTCAAAAAAAATAATATATATTATTTTAACAATTATTTTTCTTTCTAAATCACACTTTATGATTTTTCATAGAAACAAAATTATAAATAATAGATTCCAATAAGATTTTGTTCGTTTAAATTGGAACCTTACAATTTTACTACTTGTAGCATTTAAATCTACGTCATATCATCAATTCATCATATATCGATGTCGCCGGAGAGAACAATACAAGACTGTCTGTATCAAAATCCTTATCACCATCACCATTATTTAGGCATTTACATTGTTCAGCAGACTTAACACCACACATTGAAAACAATGAAATTAATTAGGTTCAGATAATGATGTGTATTCAACTGTTGATCTCAAACGAACGATTTCCACAATTACAAATATGGATATGATTGTGTCATCTCATCTTAAGAATTCTTAATCACAAGTTCTAAGTATTAGTAGATATTAATAGGATAACATTCAAGGTATATTCATATAATCATACACAAACACCCATGAAATTGATGGTTAAATATAATTTTATATATAAGTATTAGTTAAAAAAAAAAAAAAACAAAAAAAAACTATCCATTAAATATTAATAAACTATTTATTGAGATGAATTAAATAAAACTCAATAAGCCTCGATACCCCTTTCATCAACCAAGAAGCTAAGGCACTTGCCACTTTTGACTCATAACACACATTTTAAGGGTTCAATATCATCCCATACTTTCTTTCTTAATATATATATATATATATATATATATATATATATATATATATATATATATATATATATATATATATATATATTAACAAAATCGTCGATGTGGTTTTTGTAAGATAAATAATAAGGAAACAATTGTTACAAATGGGGTTTGTATAAGAAAGATTTTTGCTTAAAAAAAAGTGTGATCGAAAGAAAAAAGGAATGAAAATGGAAGATAAACATGTTGAACAATAAATGAAATGAAGGTAGCACATCATCACTAAATGCATGCCAAGTGGACAACAATTCACTTGATTTTTCAAAAAAGAATGATTAAGGGAATTAAAAATAAAAAAAATATATAAAAAAAATTAAAAAAAAATGATAAAAGGAAGATTCTTGAGAGAATATCGTAGTCAATTTCACACAAAGTATACTTGTATACAAGTACTTGTATAAAACAATAGATATTATTTTAGTCCAGTTTTCAATATAAGTGGATTGTTAGGTTAGGGTGAGACTTATATGCAGGGATGGGAATATTAGATGGATATTTGCTAATCCCTTTCACCCGCTTAAAATAAATGGACGAAAATCCGAAATAAATGGATGAAAAGCAGGTGACGGATGAAGTGGATGATGGATCAGATGTGGATGATGATTTTTTCACCCGCTAACCATCCACCCATCTGTTTAACATATATTTCGTATAAAGATTTTTAATCTAAGAATTTAAATTAAAAAAATTAAAATATACAATAAAAAATACTTTGTTTGTAGCAAATTAATTTTTTCGAAGAATATGTAATTAGTACTTCCTTTTTATTTAAAAAATAATAATAACTTACCGTATAAATAACCATAAATTAAATTTTATGTGAATTTTTTTTTTCATACAATGTTCATCCATTAGTCACCCGATCCACCCGTTTCATCCGCGGATGATGAATGAAGCAGGTGATGGATGGATGTGGATGATGGAATTGGAATGATGGATGGATGCGGGTGAAGCTCCACCCGATCCAAATCCGATCCATTGTCATCTCTACTTATATGAACTCTTTCTCTGTCCCATGCATACTCCTCAGGATTATCATAAATGAAGTTTAATTTAACTAATTATTCTCCTTAACACATACACGTAGTACTTCCTTCACTCTGTTTCGATTTATCTGCAATAGTTTGACTTTTATATTTGTCGATGCATAACTTCAATAATTTATAACTTTGATTTATAATTGAGTAAAAGCTATAAAAAGATAATACTATTACGTATGAAAAATGCATATACATTGAGACGAATTTAACAAGATTCATTTTATTATATTTTGCCTAACGCATCAATCAGAGAAGATTGTCGAACAAAAACTTTATGAACAGCTAGTGGCAAACGTCAATTTAACTGGTTACAGTAAAATGAAACTGATAAATTATACTTTGTATATTTTAAAAATTACATAATAGACAGTATTTTCTGCAATCTATGCTTAGAACACTTTTCATACACCCAAATAAGCTTAGCAGAAGTGTATTATAACTCTAGGTACACCCGGTGCTTATAATTAAGAATTTCCAATACATGCTCAAGTTGTATTATCCAATTCGGCTTCTCCAATTCGTATGTTAACAAAAATTCTATCTCTATTAGTAGTGTGTTGCGAAGTTCTCCTACAGTCCTAAATAAAGGGGTAGTTAGGCAAATTGATCATAATATAATTTTTATTAGGAATTTTTGGTTGTTATTTTGCTAATGAAACTAACCAAGGGCAAGGCAAGATTTATCTACCAATTCAGCTATACCGATTGTAATTTATACTTATCTACAAAAATTGCATGTATAATAATTTTTCTAGGACCTCCACCAGCCCCATGGCTCCGCCCCTCAATACCTAGTGATTATTTTTCAGGCTAGAGCAAGATTACAAGGGCAATGATATAGATTGGATTATTAATACCAAGACTATAACCCAGGATTTATACCAAGATTATAACCCCCAAAAAAAAAAAACATGTAGAGAGCATCATTCATACGTACTCTTCTTTATTTATAGACCCATTCTACGAAGTTTATCATATATTTATATTATACTTATATAATATATCATTGTCACATAAATAAATTTAAATACGCCAGTAGTTTGACATGTGATAATAAACCCAAATAAAAGAGAGCATCATATATATAAATTCTCACCACCTCCTAAATAAGCAAATATAATAATTATCTCTCAAAATGGGTAACAATACTAATAATTACTTGAAACTTTTGGTGGACGAATCAACATGGTATAACGAAATGTTGCTGCCACAATTTGTGCGCGATGTGCTGCCTCACTTCCTTCAGTCATGGCTCCGAAATTGCATTTGCGGTGTTTTTGTCTTTGCTATTTCCACTCTTCTTTTACGTCTCAACTATTGGAAATACTACTCTTCCTCTCCAAAAGGCATTTTTTAATTTTTTTTTATCAAGCCCTACATACTTATATTCTATGTTTTATTTTAATTTTTCATCAAAAAAAAAAAAAAAAATTCTACTGTGTTTTTTCGTAGATATTAACAATGAAATTTGTTTATTGACATGACAGAGAATGTGGCAACAAGAAAGGAGATGATGAAGCAGATAAAGGAATCAATGGAATTAATGCCATCGGGTGCCTTATTTCTTACAGTAACGGAGCACCTTGCAGAAACAGGCTGGACAAGATGTTATACTCGAATTAGCGATGTTGGTTTAATAATCTATGTTCTTTCCACTCTTGTTTATCTTGCCGTCATTGAAGTTTGGACGTACTGGATTCATCGATATATGCATGAAATAAGGCCGATCTACAGGCTTATTCATTCCCGTCATCATTCTTACAACAAGGAAAGTAGCCTTTCCCCCTTTGCAGGTACGACATACACTCCATATGTCAATTTAAGAACATACTTGTACATACATGATATGATTATCTATAATTCTATTGAATAACGTACAAATTTAACTGTTTCCAATTATAATTAATATAGGTTGGGCGTTGCATCCTTTGGACGGAATATTAATGGAACTTCCCCATGGAATAGCATTTTTAATGGTTCCAACCCATTTTTTCACACACTTGGCGCTTTACCTAACGGAAGCTATGTGGGGCGTTTTAGTACATGGTAAAGGTTTTAAGCTACGTTGGCCTTTCATGGATGGAGATTTTCATACCATTCATCATACTTCTTGTCAAAATAATTATGGCAACTTCACAATTTGTATGGACAAATGGTTCGGGACCCTTCGCCCTCCCAAGGACTCCATTGACACCGCGAAAAACAAGTGACTAGATGGAAGCTCTCGTACTATTTATTAAGAAGTACATTTCATTTTACTGTTTAAGAAATTATTCAAAGTTGTATAAATGTAAAATGTACGACTTGGTTTGTGTACTTAGCTAAGGTGATCCCATTTGCAATTTTATTTCCTTATGTAAGAACTTGTATTATATTATAATGTCTTCAAATTTGTGTTTCAATTGTATTTACGTATTTCAATGTAGGAGAGTACATGTGAATTCCCTGAATTGAACTCATGTTCCCGTATGTAGTAGAGTTCATTCATAAATTCTTAATCATGAAGAAAGATCGAATTAAGGACATTGCTTAACTATAATAGGTTAGGCTAAACATTAGTTACCAATCACTACCAACTAAAAAAATACGGAATATTAACTAATAAAATTAAAATTAACCTCTAAACCAAAAGGCAAAATCAAGATATAAACCAAACTCAACGCATTTTTTTATCTTGCTGGCCACACCACACCGTGTGGCCGGCTGACACACACCAAAACACGAAATGGTTGGGTAAATCCCTGACTGGCCGAGTAACTCCTGATCAGGTAACCCCTGACTGACCCAGTGTCCCCTGAATAAGTAACCCCGGCTACACGGTGTGGCCAACCACACATGAAACTTTGTGGACCAAACTAGGGAAATTGGTTAATCAATAATAATCATGATAAAATATTGAATTAATGGAATTAATGATAACATGCCAAGATTGAAAACAAGACTCACTCTCAGCTCATGCAATCATTAAGCTACTGTATATCATATATGTTCATATGCATTACATTCATATATGTTGATGGCAAGAGCTCATCATATCAAACTATTTGCATATATATACATATCTTCTTAATTTCAGTCCATAATCAAAAAAGTAAATTATAATGTTTTTACAAAAAAGCGCAAGCAATAAGCTAAGCCATTAAATAAGTTTAACCCTGTTTGTAGTGAAATACTTTATCCTTTTTTTTCTAAATATTGCAAAATCTGCACTTTTGATGACACAATTTTCACTTCTCTTTAATTACATATTGTGATTTTAACATATGGAATAATATAACAATGTGAAATCATGTTGGATTGGACTTGGTATGCTTTCATATATTTCAACTTTTGCTTTTTTATTTATTGCAACGTTAGGAATTGCTAATGTATATCTGATTTCTAAAATATCTTTTATTTTAGTTAAGTTAAAATTACATATAAAATGTTAACATTTTGAAAGTATATAACGAGATAATTAAGATCCCAGAAAACTTTTTTTTTTCAACTCATAAATCACTAAAGATAGCTAAAGGAGTTTGTGTGAATAGTGTAAATTCTTCAACGTTGTGATCATAAAAAATGGAGGAAATATAAATATTTTAAAGTTTAAAATGGGCATTGAAATAGATAAATCTCCCAACTAATGTAGGTACTAAAATTTTACAGTATTTTTTTTATCCGTAGAAGAAATCTGGGCTTTTCTTGCAAAATTTTAAGGGTTGTAAATTGGGCCCCAGCCCTGGCCAAATTAAAAAAAGGGCCCTCCTCTAAAAGTGATTGATAGATTCTGTAAGATATTTTTATACAGTATTTTTGTGAAACCATATTTTTATACAGTATTATGAATTTATATTGGCTATATAGCTATCCCTCAAAGAATACGAACTAAAATTAAGGATCACTAATATTTATCAATGATCGTTATTGAGTTTCCAATAATATAGAAAATAATCAATAACTTCTACTCCATTCGTTCGTTTTTTGTTCTACGTGAAGGTCTATTTTAATATGTGATTGTTATACATCTATACCCCAATCTAATATTCCCACATTAGCTAATACTCTCTCCGTTCGTTTGTGAAATTTTTATATACATCCGGAGGGTAAGGTGCGTTAAGAGTATTTTTTGCTTATTTAATATTTTTTTTTCTCATTAAACTTAGGAAAATGTTATACATAATCCTTAGGGCTACATATAAGCATTAAATATATTCTAGAAAATTGTTTAAATTTAGAAAATCAAGACAAAAACACACTAGTTACCCAAAAAGATGTTATTAGGTCTATCTTAATGTGTATTCTCAAAATATTACAGATATTGATGATTAAATATATATCAATTGAACCAAAACTAACCTCTTATATACACACGGTGACACGGATGCACATAGGGCTGCATATAAGAATTAAATATACTCTTGAAAATTGTATAAAATTAGGAATTCATGACAAAACACGTGTAAATCAGTGTAGTTAGTGTGTTTTTATCATGATTTTCTAAATTTAAACAATTTTCTAGAATGTATTTAATGCTTATATGTAGCTCTAAGGGCTATGTATAACATTTTCCTTTTGGTAAATAGGTATTAAGTCATTTATTGTCAATGATAACAGGGAAAAAAATTGCTAAAGTGGGATTTGTGAATAGTGCAAAAAATCAATAAGATGCAAGTAATTTAAACAAAAGGTAGTGCTTCGAATATATGGATCAATATCTAGTACAAGTATTTTTATTTTTTTTTTTTCTCTAAAAGTTATTTCTGTTTAGAATCTTACAACTATATTAATTTTTTTTTTCAATGTATATACAAAAAGATTGCTCGCAAGCAGTGCCTTAATAATTAAAAGTACTTAATTTTATTATTTTAAAAAAACATGAAGTATATAACTAAAAATATTATTAGTAAAAGTTTCATTTGCAAACATGCAAAATCGAAACCCAAAAAAACTTTTTGAGGCGGAGGTAAAGTACACTGGATCATACATAATACATTATTGGTTTTATGCTTAATTAAGTGATAGCATATATACATGTAATTATATAAGTATATACTTTTGTACTTCGTAGCTTGTTCATACCAAGTTAAGCTAAGAAACATGAAATATTAAACAATATTATGACATGCATGATTATAATTAGTATGATAATACTAGTTTACATAATTAAGTAGTGATTACTTAATTTTTTCTAGACGAATTGGGAGACCTTCAACAGGAGTTGCAATTGGGGTGTAAATGATTTCTTCCAAAGGATTTACTTTCCAGAATTTGAAACGAGTAACTAAGCTGTGCAGAAAAACAAGTATCTCAATTCTTGCGTACTCTTTTCCGCCACACATCAAAGGCCCTCCTCCGAAGGGTACAAATGCATAGGGTGGTATAGGATTATTGTTCCCTTCGAATCTTGAAGGCTCGAACTCTTCCGGATTTGGAAAATACTCGGGATCCTTGTGTGACGAATAAGCATTCCAAGCAACCTAATATAAATTCATCACACAAGATTTAAGAAAACATTAAGAAAAAACACCGTACCAAAAGAATTATTTTGAAGATCGTTACATCTATATAATGGGTGTTTCAGTTTCCATATTAATCATCTGGCTATAGTACAATGTATGTAATCATTACGGGGTAAATATTATACCTTCCAACCCTTTGGGACTCTAAAGCCAGCGTAAGTGAAATCCGCGAGGACTTCCCTAAAACTTCCCAAGGCAGGTGGTCGTAGCCTCATAGTTTCACATGCCACATTCCATGAGTACTTCATTTTCTGAATATCTTTCCAATTCAATAGCTCCCCTGCCTTTTTTGATCTAGCAATCTCCAAATGCTCTAGCAACCAGATCAATCAAGTTCGAAATTTACAATACGATACAATTCAATCACAATCCTAACTATAACCTACCCGATAATAAGAAAAAGTAATCTATCTAGAAAATTACTTTACATATTGTAAATTGTAACACGTACTTATTATGTTAGTCATATATATTACCCTCAACTCTCACAAGTAATTAAAAATTACAATTATTGTAGTAGTTCACGCCCAAAAATTTCAAGAGTACAACTAATAACCTGTATTATTTTGACTAGACACGCTAGAAATAAAATTAAATATTTCTTGAGTAGTGCATGCACGCACTTACCTTGTAAGACCTTGTCGTAGACATGAGGATGATCCGCAAGGTAGTATACTATAAACGTGACAGCAGTGCTTATAGTATAGAAGCTAGCAAATAAGAGACTGTTAATCTTCCCAGCAATCACCTTGTGATCGATAATCATCCCACTTTCATGGGAAGCCTTAAGAACTCGAGTCAATAGATCATGAAATAAACCATCATCATCTTCTTTTTCTCTGTTTTTTACCTCAATTTGCCTCTCTTTAATAATACTTATGATCTTGTTCTTGACAGCTTCCTGCCTCTTCTTAGCTGAGTAGAATGGCAAACTGACTGACTTTGACATCGTGTCTTCGTGCAGCTCGAAAAATGGTTTCGCAACTTCCTTCACTTGTTCTTGACTGCTATAATTGATAAACAAGCAACAAGTTAGTGTGAAAGTGAAATCTTTGGCTAAGGGTTGAACCTTGACTTGTTCATAAGGCGCCCAAAATGTGTCGAAAAGGTGAGCCGCCTTAGAATCCATGATGGCTACAAGATGTTGCATGGACTCGAGTTTAAGGAACTTGTGAAGTTGTTCTTGTACTAATTTCGACGACCATGAATTGTTGTCAATATCTCTTACAGAAAGAGCTAAGGCCAAGGAGGGTGGCATCCAAAACTCGAACAATTTTCCGTCGTTGGAGAAGAGGAATTTGTGACCGGAAGGGCCGCATAGAATGGCTACTTTTTCCCCAAGTACTGAGGTCTTAAAAATTTTTGACGAGTATTTGGTCATTCTCTCACGCATGAATTTTTCAGGGCGTGAAATATACTCGTGGGTTTCTCCATATATTGGCCACCCATATTTTCCGGGAGGAAGGCTTAATAAGTTTGAGCATTTTTTGGTTATAAACAAGATTAAGGTGACAATTACCAAAGTTGAAGTGACCAAAAACAAAGTTGGATCCATATGCACAATGTTATGAACAAATTCTAATTAGGCTCTATTTTATACTAGGTGATAGTGTTTTTTAATTTAAAAAACTGGAAGTGGGAAATGATTTAATACTTTGGGACATTCTTTGACTATAAATTTGGGTAATAATAGCACCTAAAAAGATTTGGGATGTCAAACAGAAAAGGAAAAACAGAATTATAAAGACAAGACCAAAGAGACATATTAAATTCATGGGTAATTTGGTGTAAATTTGGGAAGCCCGGCCCGTTAATCAAATTTTAAAAGGCACTACTCAAAACTTGATTTTTTTTTTTTGAAGTGTAATCAATGATATTAAATTCAAAAATCGTCATTATTATATAAGATTTCCTTACATACTCCGTATTATACTATTACTCCCTTCATCCCAGAATAATTGAAACACTTTACTTTTTTTTAATCAATTTTAACAATTTTTTTTTGCTATTATATAAAATAAAATGTTAATTGGTAAGTTGTTGTTGGATTTATCTTAATGTATATTATTAGAATATCGAGTTTATAGTAATATTTAATTTTATATAATAGAAATTAAAGATGGTCAAAGATGGTAAGAAAAAGTTAAGTGTCCCAATTTATTCTGAGACGAAGGAAGTACAAGTATTCGATATTTCAATGCATGTTTGCCAGTACATTACTTTGACTATTAATATTTTAGATTATACTTTAATAAAGGTTATAAAAAAATTTGTTTTGAAAACACATATTGAGATTAAATCAACAATATTTAAAATAGTAAAACGCAGTCAAAATTGATATAAGAATATGTCAAAAGTCAATATGATGAATCTATTTAGAAATGAAAAATATATGTAAGTTTGCTGTAAAATTAAAAATTATATAATAAAAAGAAGATAGTGTGTTAACAATTATTTAAAGTACCAATCCTTTCCCCATATCTCAAAGTGCCTCTAGCGAAAACTGTTTCCAAAATTTCTAGGTTGTGAGAATGTGAGATAATTCGTAAACCATAAGAATAAGAGATATTAAGAGGTGAAGAACGATATCACTACTCAACCACCTCAACCTCAACCTCAACCTCAACCTCAACCTCAATATTAATAGCTACATAACGACAGTTGGGCATTACCTAATTAATGAAAAAAATTACGATGTAACAATCCATCGTAATTAATAAAAACAAATCCATCGCAATTTTGATAGGAACGTTATAATTGTAGATTTGGAGTTACTCGTATATATTAATTTAATGTTATGATGGAGATAATTTTAGTTAGTGGACATAAATTTGTTATTCGATAAATTCATGTAGATGTTCCACGTGTCCATAGACAATGACATAGATATCAAGAGCAATAATGACATAGAAATTTGTATGGAGTAAAATGTTTTCAGTTGTAAACCAGTATTTAGGCCCTGGCAATGTCCTGAGTTATTATATTATTTTAATGATAAAAATTCGTATTAATATTTAATTAATCTTTATTAAATATCATGTAATATGATAATAGATTAATGGCTAATACCTCATAGTTTAAACTTAGTTCAAATCTTATAAGAACCATATTTTTAAACATGAAGTGAAAATTGGATTTAAATTAGGAAGTTGCCACATGGTTTAAACATATGGAGTAAAAAAATAAGGTGAGTGTCACGTGACGCCTAAACATGTTTAGCAACGCCTTTTAATATCTAGTTTTATTACAAAAGCTTTGTGGTGGTATTAACAGCCTGCATAATCATTATAATAATAAATAAAAATATTAAACAACGAGCGATGGTGATGATATGGAATAATAATTAAATAAGTAATGATAAATGGTGGTAATGAAAACAATTACGGAGTATATATGTAATATTTTGATGAAATTCTTATGTATATACCATCTAGGATTATAAAATCTTACTATTCCCTCCATTTTTTCATTAGTTTCGTTTTGATTCTTGACACTATTCATCAAATAAGATAATCTTCTAATTTATTCATAATATATTAGATATATAGGTCTGTTTTGTTCACCTTATTTTCACTTATTTCATGTGTTGATATGTAATAATAAGTTTAGATAAGTTCAGGTAAATTTATTAGATAAGTTCAGGTAAGATAAGATAAGTTCAGATAAGTAAAAATCAGGTAAATAGAATACACCCATAATATAGTTATGTAGGGTCTTTTTTGACTCGTCTCAATAAAAAAAATTATTAATATTTAATATTATAATTTTTACAAAAATGCAATGAAAGATATTAATGATCAAACAAGTGAATTGACAAATGAACAAGTCAAAATGAAACCAATTAAAAAGAACAGAGGGAAGACTATTCAAGTCATACAACTTTATAGTTTATATGCGGTATGTAGCTCAGGAGCTATAAGCCTAGGATCATAAAATTTTAATGAAGAAAATCACGTAAATGTTATGGGATGATGAACTTTCATTTACAAGTATTGAAAATAAGAATTCCTTATAATATTACACACAAATTTAATACGGAGTATCATTCTAAAAATTTTATGACAGCTTACAAAATACGAGTAGATTGTAAAAATTTGTGATCAAATCTTGTCTACATACATCCATCCATCAATATCATTGCATATACTTCATACTTCGTATATAATTTATCTTACTCTCATTGTGGCTATCTTCATCATACAAAAACAATAATGGAGACCACACTCAATTACCCAATTCCTTCTTTAATCACTACAATCATTCTAGTAATTGTATTGATTATATTGTGGAAAGCTGTAAATGGAGTTTGGTTAAGGCCCAAAAAAATGGAAAAGCTGCTAAGAAGGCAAGGTTTTAAGGGTAATCCCTACAAATTGATTGTTGGAGATGTAAAGGAGATCATAACCCAAACAAAAGCCGCATTGCGAAAACCTATTAGTTTGGAAGATGATCACCTGCCTCGAATTGTATGTTTTATTCATGATATTATTCAAAAGCATGGTAAGCAAAGTAATCATTTTTTTTTTTGGTTATAAACATTGCATAATTCTATACTTTTTTAAGTTTATATGTAAATTTTCGAAGATTCGATAAAACTGTGTGTTATTGTAGGTGAACAATGTTTTGCTTGGATGGGTCCGACTCCTTGGTTGATCATCACAAATGCAGAGAAGATAAAGGATGTGTTGATAAAATATGAAGATTTTCAGAAACCAAATCATCCATTCACCCAATTACTTATGGTAGGGTTGTTTGGCCTTGAAGGTGATACGTGGGTTAAACATAGAAGAATAATCAACCCGGCATTTCACATGGACAAACTGAAGGTAAGTTGTTTATATTATATCGATTGTATATTTGTAGTCGTGTTGCATTGATTGTTTATGAACTAGTGATGCTGACAATTTATTCTAGGTGGGGTAGTCTGACATAAGGAATAATATTATATTTTTTTATAGTTATCTTGATCATCTATCATTTGGTCACAATTTATAAATGTTGTACATGATTTTTTTTAATTTTTTTTTCGTCTGTTACTTTGAAATGAAGAGTATGTTCCATTTAATACACGAGAGTTGTAGCTTGATGACAACTTCTTGGGAAGAGATAATTTCGAAAGGTGGATCGAATTCAACAGAGATAGATGTATGGCCTTACCTTGAGAGTTTAACTGGTGATATAATTTCTAGAGTAGCCTTTGGCAGCAGTTATGAGAAAGGGAGAAGAATATGTGATTTGCAAAGAGAACAAGTCAATTTATCAATTGCTAGCCCACAAGCATCAAATTACATCCCCGGATGGAGGTATGACGTAGTACTCTTACTCCGTACATTATATATACAGTATATGAACATGTTCTGTTCACCTTATTTCCAGTTTTTCCAATGAATGATGATGATTTTTTAGATTTTTGCCAACAAAGAAGAATCGTCGAGTAAAAGAAATTTGCAAAGAGATAGAAGAATCGTTGACAGAAATAATAGATTCAAGGAAAAAGGAGATGGAAGCAGGGGTAGGCACCAAAGATGACCTTTTGGGCATACTACTAGAATCTAGTATGAGAGAAATTAAAGAAAATGGAAATGAAAAGGGAAAAGGTTTAACTACCAAAGAGGTTGTTGATGAATGCAAGATTTTCTACTTAGCTGGCTCAGAGACAACTTCTACTCTTATTGTTTGGGCACTCGTTCTGATGAGCAAACATCAAATTTGGCAAGAGCGAGCTCGGGCTGAGGTTTTGCAGCTGTTTGGCAAGGATGAAATCCCAACTTTCCAAGGATTGAGCCATCTCAAAATAGTAAGTTCATTCTCTAATCTTTCTATCTTCTTCTTAGAGGCTAGGCTTATTTATAAATGTTGTTGAATAAAGGAGTAATGATCGAGAAATTCCCTGTTTCTCACAGTGAGAAACGAAATTTGTTTCTCATGGGGGCATTTTCGTGAATAAATCAACAACTTTATTAACTTTTTTATTATTGTGGGCTCCGTAATTGATTAAAGTTGTTGGTTTATTTACAAAAATGTCATGTGAGAAACAAATTTTGTTTTGTTTCTCACTATGAGAAACTGAGGCTCTCTCGTAATGATCATGGTAGAGGCGACGAGCTTTATTAAATGATGAGGGTCCGATTGATTTGAATGTTTTTAATTGATTTGAACCCACTTATAAGAACACTAGATTTGTCAAATCACTAAACACAAATACACCTCTTTGTTGCAGGTAACTATGATTTTAAATGAAACTCTTAGACTTTACACGCCAGCTTATATGCTCTTACGCAAAGTTTACAAGGACACAAAGTTACAGGATGTGTTGGTTCCAGCAGGAACAGAAATTCTTTTGCCACTATGTATTATTCATCAAGATATAAATCTATGGGGTAGCGATGCTAAAGAATTTAATCCTGAAAGATTTGCTCAAGGTATTTCTACAGCAACCAAAGGCCAACCCATATATTATCCCTTCAGTACTGGTCCTCGATTTTGCATTGGCCAAAACTTGTCCTTGCTAGAGGCGAAATTAACATTAGCTATGATTTTGCAACGTTTCTCTTTCGCTGTCTCACCTACTTATATTCATGCACCTCATGGTACATTAACTGTAAGGCCTCAACATGGAGCCAACTTAATTTTAACCAAAATCTAGAATTGAAATAAATCAATCTTTGATCAATACAATGTATATGAGATAATGTATATGTAATAGCTCGCTCCTACCTTTGTTCGGATTTGATGGTCATAAAGGCTACATTTAATTTGCCTTATTTTAGTAACTTAATGCATATTTTAGATCATATTAGCAAACATAAGTTTATATTTAACTTTATCATTATTATGGCTAGATATCTTGAATTCCTTCATTTGAAATATTTTTTTCTAGTGAATTATCATATTCTGTAAAATCAAACACTCAAATAACAAAAATAAGTTCAAATCAAATTAGTTAACCAAAAATAAAATGAACTAAACAAAGCCTAAATGGCTAATTCAATCATATAATACCTACTTTACTTCATCATTACTTGGCATTTGGTGATATTTATTCCATTTACATTTAACGATTACAACACGTTACTAAGTATACCCACATTTACATATAATTCATTCCCCCCAAAATCATTAAATTAAGGAAAAATTTTGAATCCTTAATTCATCTCTTTTGAAAGTTCATGAACTTCATCCTTAATTCATCTCTTTTGAAAGTTCATGAATTTCATGCCATAAGCAAAGCCAAACACGAAGAAAAGGACCCAACCAAGATGTGCCACAACAATGTAAGGCAGGAATTCATACTCATAACCAAAGTATTCTTTCAGGAAAACCTTAACGGATATGTTGTTGCTACCTCCTGGCACAAGAAGAGTAGATTCGATGTCGCCAACTTGTGATGTCACGAGACCATATAATGTCAAGGAAACTGGGGAACCCCAGTAAAACCATCTCCACCAAATTGGTATTTGCTGCAATGAGACCAAATGTAACGCTCAAAGTTAGAAACTAAGGTAAGTGCTGATCGAGGCTGCATGCAACGAGCTGAACTCGGGTTTATTCTATACATGTTAACCTAATGCTTGTTGCCTAACATCTCCCTTAAGCTTAATAAACCAAGAATAAATATAGGTCATATTGAGTCAATTTATAACATGTAACTTCATGTAATTAACTATTCTTTGATGTAATGTTGTAACAATGTAACATGATTATAAGAGACCAATCACATAAAACTAGATGTTTATTAAGTAGACATTTCATAGATATCTATAAGTAGCAAGTGACATACCGGTCTAGGAATCAAAAAACCAGCAAATATGTTCCAAAAGCCGAGGAAGAAATTCATTATAATGGCGGAAATTTGATGACCCGGTGAAAGAGAAACGAGCATCATTCCATATAGTGTGAAGTAAAGGAAGCACATTAAGATGAAGAAGTAGAAGTACAGGAATTTCTCGATGTTCCTTTCAAATCCAATCATGCAGTAGAGGATAAGAGTGTAAACAAGAGTTTGTATCACATTGTAAATTCCCTCTATTGCAACCTGTATGATATGAAAACAAATCCGAATAAAATTTAAATTACACTATCAACGTGCAATTAATTTCAAACCAGAGCAAATACACTTGTATTTATCTCTAATGTGATACACCTTTGTTACATTACCTGAGCAAACGTATAGGGTAGCACCGAGTACATCCTTGCTGCTTTTTCGCGATAAAATATTGTCCTTTCGGTAGCAACAACAGCTTGCACAGCAGAAGTGTTAGTACCTCCAAGGAATAGTACAGCCGAATACATGGCACCTAGGAGATTCATCAAGTCTTGTTCTTTAGATCTGTTCCATGACAACAAATACGCGTCATATAAACTAAAATAATCTTGGGACAGTACGGATACTTCATGATCAATAATTAAGCTAGGTAAGAACATAAATAAACTCACATTTTGCCTCCTTGATTCCAGAACAAAACACCAAAGACAAGGCCTATGACAACAGTCATGACAAATCGAGCAAGATTGTATTCTGAGTTCCTCCAATAAGACCAATATTGCTTCCAGAAACAAGCCTTGAATTGAACTAGGTATGGTTGAGAGTATTCAGTTGGGAAGTAGAGATCATTAGAATTCGGTGCAGGAGTGCTAAGCTCTCTAATCAATTCTTGATTCCTCCTGCAAAAATGTATAATGTCTTGTTCTCATCATAAATTACTGAATTAATAGATAGTCATGCCTTGACATTTAAATTTGTAACTTACTGATAAAGCGGGGAGTTTGCATAATTATTTGCAAAATCAACATCTAGTTGAGACTCTACTTCAGGACTAGTGATATCAAGCACCCATGTTGCTGGATTATAACCATCTTTAATTTTTGGCACTCCGGAAATGGCCTACAATGGACCACATAGAAAATTAACCACCGAGTCATTAGTAAGATTCAAAGATCATCCAAGCAAAAGGCGCGATTCAAAGACAATACTCTAGTCCTATCTGCAAGTCATAGTCCATGTTCTGAGTTTAAATATCCAGAAATATACGGCTTATATAATAATGGATTATGATTGAATATCGTATGATGTCATTACTAATCTTAAGAAATAGGGAATAGGGAAGATTATATATTAAAAGGCAATGCAAGTGAATAGTTCGATCTTTGTGAAACAGGGGAGTAGAGCTACAACTACAAGTGCATCAAGTGAATAACGTACGTTCTTCAATGTATTTGATGAGCTCACAAGATTATAATAATGTTTTATGATTGGATATCGTATGATGTCTTTATTATACCTAGCAGATAGGGAGATGACACATAACTACTTCGTTTTGTCAAGACATTAAACTAAAGATGTTGATGCATGGTCGAAGTTAGGCATTAAAGATTAGAGGGGAGTAGAGCTAAAACTACAAGTGCATCAAGTAAATAACATACTTCAAAGTATTTAATTAGCTCACAAGAGTTGTGACCAATGGGTCCTGCATAGATTATCTGTCCTCCCCTTTTCATCAATAGAAGCTGCAATAATAATATACAAGTTACATGTATTATAAAAATTATTTACATGAAGAGAAAAAAGATATTTGTAGCTGTTTAATGAAATTGAAAACGAATGCTTATGCTTAAGTAATACCTCATCGAAGGCCTCAAAAATATCTATACTTGGCTGATGAATTGTGCAAACCACAGTTCGTCCAGTATCCACAGTATTTCTCACAGTGCGCATAACAATAGCCGCAGCTCTAGCATCAAGCCCGGATGTTGGTTCATCCATAAATATAATGGAGGGATTAGCAACTAACTCTACTGCTACTGTCAATCTTTTCCTTTGTTCTATTGAAAGGCCGCTCACCCCGGGAAGGCCAACTAGAGCATCCTTTAATGGTTTAAGCTCCACCAGATCCATTACTTCGTCAACAAACAGCTGTTATTGTTAAAATACGGGAAGTTTTAGCTCTTCTTAAGAAAAAACTAGTGTTCAAATTTTTCATTGCTTAGTTGATAAAAGGTAAAAAAGCTAACAATATAATGTTTGTTAAATTGTAATAGTACTTCCATAGTTAGTAATCAAAGAACGTGATCGATCTTTTATTTGTTAATGATAATGATTTAATGAAGTATGCGTAAAGGCAACAAACCTTTCTTGCTGTTATGTCCACTTCTGCAGAAAGACGAAGCCAAGCCGAGTATAAAAGGGATTCATAGACAGTTACGTGGGGTGAATGGATGTCATTTTGTTCACAATAACCACTAATCCGAGCAAAAGTTGCCTGATTTTTGGGGTACCCTGAGATCTTGATGCTTCCTTCGACATGGCCACCAGTTTTTCTTCCGGCGAGCACATCCATCAATGTGGTCTTCCCCGCACCACTTACACCAACTAGTGCTGTTAATATCCCCGGCCTTAAAGCACCACTAACATCACGTAACAACTGAAGACGATCTTCATTGTAACCTTGGCCTTTCATTTCCTGTTGAAGATTATTAAGTCATCAATATAATACTAGTACATCAATTTTCAATAACCAAGTTAAATGTTTTCAATTGAAATCCGAACTTACAGCAGACGTATCCACATAGTAATTTACATGGTTGAATGTCAGTGAAAGAGGTTGAAAATGCAAAACCATTCCTCTTTTTGGACCACCATTGACGAAAGAGCTAGTACTACTCTTTACAAGAGTAACCTCCTTTTGGATCTCATCATCATCATCATCATCTAACGGTATAGTTCTAGAATGACTAATAGCTGAAGAAACATTGTTATTAGTAAAGTTAGATAACAATATTATTGTACGTATTTTTGAAGTCAAGAAAAATGAAATCAAGGACTTACGATTTAAGTATGTCAATGACAGTATATAGAATAAGTTGAAGATGAGAAAAAATCCTAATAAAGCTCCTATGCAAATCCAAAACCAATATTGTTGTTTAAAAAAGCCTCTCGACGATAGTATGACTTTGCCAATGGTCTGTTCATTGATTCTTGAATCCATATTAGGCTGCGAATTAATACCGTAAACATAAGCATACAATAAACACATATACAGATTAAGTATATATCGTATGTACGTACCACATGAAAGATTAGATTGGTCATTTTAGGTGGTTCATTACGAGTATTACCTACGTTTCTTATTTTTTGCAACAAAAGAATTTTTCATGTCTCACAAATAATACCCCTTTATTACAAGTTTATAAGGTAGTCTCTAGAAAACAACATGATCATGAATGATTTATTAAGGAAAAGGAGGCAACAGAAAGTGCACTTACTGTGCTCCATCGTTTGTCAAGAAATTCATTGATAACTATAGCATTTTGTCCGTACATCATAGGCGAAAGGTAGTATGCCCATTTCATCCAAGGTGCAATGTCATCTGTAAAACACACACAATGTGAATTGCGGTAACAACAGATCATAACAAGTTCCCAATGCTAGGAAAATACGACGTAGAACATCCCATGAAGAATACGGAACTTGGAACGAAAGCAAAAAATTGAAAGCACGCATTGGTGAATTGATTACCTTTTGCAATAATGAATCCTCCTAGAACAAAAACAGACAGCAAGGTTAAGGTACAGATAGTACTAGCAATAACCATTGTCCTTCCAACGGCACCAAGCAAGCGAAAGAAGGACATTGCCATCAGATTTGTGCAGAAGAGTGCTAGCCACTGGCAAAAAAATCTGATAAAAATTGCACATAAACTTACTTTGGCTAAACACCACATAATTGATCATGGTTTTCATGATATAACAAAGCATGCATTTACGAAAAAAAAATTAAAAGCTCATGTCTACCTTACCTACTAATTGCTGGAGCAAAGCCAATTGTATAATAAGTGATGACAGTCCAAATAGTAGAATCAACGAATGACAGTGGTATTCGTAGGACACAAACAGGCAAGGCATAAGCCCAAGCAGGGTAGAAGAAAAGGTCCCTTTGTTTGTAAAAAACCGAAAGGCTAAGGACTGTCATAGGAAATTCAGCCATTCCATTAAACATCATATTCATGAGACTGAAAAATAAAGCTCCCAAGTATTTCCCTCCATCGGCCACTGTTTCATGATGCATTGTTGTCCTTAGAAACACCGTCATGGTAATCAATGACATGATTGTTAATTGAGTAGTTTTGAAGACGTACACAAAAGAATTCCTCTTCATCAACATCCACTCCCTTGCGAAACATGCCTTTAATAGTTTCCAACTGGAGGTACCATACAACTCTTTCGAAAGATCCGATTGCGTTGCTTTAGATTTAGAGTCATAAGGAATGCATAGATCCGATGCTAGTTTCTGCCCAATTCGGAAAGATTTGAAGGCTTGAGCAAACTCGTGAGCAGAAATATATTTATGTGAAGACTGGTGCTTAGGTGACCAGTATTGTGCTTGGTCTTTCTTTGAAGTAACCTCTAGCAAAAATTCAACGACTTCTTTTCTTTCCGGGCACTTGAATCCCATGTATTCAAAAAAATCCAGAACATCTTCACACGAACCTTGATAGACAATGTGACCTTCAATAAGAAGAATGATATCATCAAATAGGTCATACGTCTCAGGATTCGGTTGCAGAAGAGATATGACGATTGTTACATCCAACATATGAACTATATCTCTTAAATTCTTGCATATTCGAAAAGTAGTGGAGCTATCCAACCCGGTTGAAATTTCATCCATTAAGAACACTTTTGTTGGTCCAACCAACATTTCACCTACATTATAGTACAATCACCCAAATTAATCAAGCACTTTTGTCACATAAAATTTAGGAACATTCTTGATATCATAAAAATAAACGTAATTGAAGGTACACCCTGATATATATAAGTTTATATAGTTGAATGTGCATATATACCTAAGGTTAAACGTTTCTTCTCACCACCCGAGATGCCCCTCCTCATCTCATCACCCACCATGGTATCCGCGCATATATCCAATCCAAGTAACTATTAATAGATAAAAGATGGTATTTAATTTAGTGTACTGAGATTTTAAAAGCTAAATAAGTTTTTTAAAAGTAAGCCTTTTGGCCAGTAAAGATTACAAACCTTGAGGACATAATCAGTAATTAGACCACTTTCGTGACCTGGAATCGCTATGGCCTTCATGAAGACGTCAATATCAAGATCAGGTGTGATCCCTGATTGCTTCTCTTGTCTTAACAGCTCTTCCAACAACTTATACCGAGTTCCAACCCCTAAACATCGTCCTGAAAAATCGAGTGTCTCCCTTACTGTCATTTCTCCAAAGTGAAGATCATGTTGACTGATATAAGCACTCGTTCTATGGGGATTAATTTCTGTCAACTCATGCCCATTGTAGGTTATCATTCCAGTTACCTGTTGACAGTAGTTTACATAGTATGTATAGGATAATGTTGTTACCAACATCCATAAATAAACAATTTTAAAAAAAATACAGAAATGAAGTTCCTAGCTAGAAATACACGACAGAATCACGCATTTGTAATAAATGTTTATTTTAGCTTCCACTTTTGTCTGCTTATGTATATACACACAGCTCTAAGATTAAGATGTCAATTTCCTATGAACTTCATTTATCACATATCCATACCACACTTTATCAGTTTATTAAGGGAGTTATTAAGAATAATACTACACATGAAATATTATCAAACTCAGTGACGTGTACATAAAAAGATTTCGGATTGAAAATTAAAAACACCTTAAGGTCTTCATCTAGCTTCCCTGCGAGTGCTTGTAGTAATGTAGTTTTTCCAGAGTCTGGAGGTCCCAAAAGCAATGTCATCCTAACATTTAAACATCAATGCACAGTGAATTTAGTAACGAACATTAATATTTATAATTTAGTATGCATGGAAATAGTTTGATTTTTATGACTTATAATTTACTATGCAACTTTGATTATTGTATTAACAAAATTTATGAAAAATTGATCTCTTAAGTTAAACACTAAAATGAAAGACTAGGAAACTTATCTTGGTACACATTTGATTGATTTAGGCACATATTACCATAGGTGTGCCAAAATCATTTCTCTATGCACATTCTATAACACGAGTGAGTATGTTTTCATGATACATTAGCGAAAATAAACGAAGAAAAATTTCAAAACAAGAGTATACCTAGATGGTTTAACAATTCCACTGACATCTTGGAGTATCTTGATGGTCCTCTTCTTTGATGGGGTTAGTCGTATCAACCCAAGAATTGTCTGCCAATGTCGAAATTCAAAAAAAAAAAAAAAAAAAAAAAAAAACAGTTTTCTTACCAGGCCAGCTAAACAATTCACAGAGTATGTCACAAATAATGTTTTTGATAGTTAGTTATGCTATTTTTAATGTGTCTATTGCAGCAATATCAAAAACACATCAAACTTATTACTACAGTATAACTTTATAAGATATCAAGAGTCTTAATTTTTTGTCTAATTCTCTTGTCAATGACAATTCTTGTTATGGCCTATGTCAAAAAAAAAAACACTAAAATAAATTAATGATTAAATGTATAAATAAATTCTTGTCAATATGCCTTGATTTAAATTGGAAAAAAAAATGAAAAAGTCCTCTGTCCCACATAAAATTAATATTGACCTTACTACACTCCCTAATAATTGTTTCTTCTTTGATTGCATATCCATGCAAATTGCCTTTAATTTGCCTTGTTCAAAAATGTCCATGTACTAATAATTATAATTAAAAGAGGGGGATAAAGTGACAAATAATATCTATGTTGATTGAATCTAATGTACTTGACAAGACGACAATAAATATTATTACCTCTAGAAAATTCATAGAAGAATTAAGCAAAGTGGGCAAGGCTCTGCTTCCTACATGTACTTCTCCTTCCACGGACAGATGCTCGTATCTCAATTGAATATTTGGAATTTTAATTGCAGCCCTATAAATATCAATAAGAATCCAGATTATTGTATAAATTGCATGACGTAGAATATATATATATATATATATTAATTATTGAAAATTACAACAATTTTCCATAATTTTCACTATTATAAACTCTGGAATAATAAGTTAATGGTCAAAGATTACACGTACTAAAACCCGTAAGAAACTAAGTTCGTAGGTAATTAAACATTAACGCACCATAAATTAAAAGCATCAAAAAAATCATTATTTGAAACAAACTTTTACGGAATACAGTATTAAATTAGCCAATTCGTTCCTTCAAATCAATTGTCAATGTGATTTTTTTACAGGATTAAAGTTATTCCTACAAATTAGCAATAATAAAGCTATGGATGATGGTCCGTTGGTCCCAAACATTCCATTAATTCCAAGATGCCAACTCAGGATTAAAGTTAATCCTACAAATTAGCAATAATAAAGCAATGGATGATGGTCCGTTGGTCCCAAACATTCCATTAATTCCAAGATGCCAACTCAAATAATGAAAAGATAATTTACTTAGTCGTGTTCACTCTGTTAAATTTTTTTCCATGATAGGATATATAAACCGGTCTTGGACTTCAATCAAAAGCTTACTTCAACTATCACTTTTGGTTGATTTAGTCCTTTAACATGGTATTAAGAGGTCATCGTGACATTAAAATCACAGGTTCAAATCTCATTCATTCCTCATTCTCAAGTGGAATATTTAGCGTTGGGTATGAGTGGGACCCATACCACACCCACATTTCAAGCCCAACGGGCTTTCATGTGAGGGGGCGTGATAACATGCATAATCCGATCTAAAATTTCAACATCAACTTAAGCTTTTGGTCCCACAGAAAACCGATAAAAAAGAATAATGATGAAAAATACTACGTATAAAGCAGCCAATCGTGAAACAGCCAGAAATATTTCGTACGGAATGTGTGGTTTGTTATTATAAACTATAGATTTTTTTTTTTGTTGAGTTGTTAATATAAGCCACTCATCTCTTAATTACTCCCAAGTATGACAGTTACCTATGACCCTACCCTTAATTATATACAGGTGAGGCTACTCAATCTCAACTTCTCAAGTCTCACTCTATTCCGTGAAAAACTGAAAATCTTCCTATTAAGTACTCCACTTGATCATATTTTCATTTAGTTTAACATACGAAGTATTTGTCGATGTACATTTTAAAGTATTAAAATCTTTAATTACATTTTAGTAAATAAAAAAATCATATAAAAATTTGATATTTTTAAAGTATTTATCGATGGAATTAAACAAAACTCCATTTTCCCTAATCCCTAATCTTTTTCTTACACTTGTATATTAGAAAGAATTTAGAAGGTTTTCTTGTTAATATTGTCTAAATTTCAAATGAGAATAACATGTAAGATATAATAGAGTATTATTTACGTGGTTAAATTTTTCTAATTTTAATGCTTAATAATCTTTTCCCCAAGTGTATTGTAAGATTTGTGATCAATGTGAGTGATTCACATTGATTTAAAAAATAAATAAATAAATAAAAATTTAATCACTTTATTGCCATATACGCATGGATCAACTTTCAAGGTGAATTTGCTTTTTTTTTTTTAAAAAAAAATATAAGAAAAGTATAATGAACATTTTCACTTTTTAAGGGTCATGTGGTGTTTTCTTTCTTTTAAAAAAAATCTTGTAACTATAAACAAGTAAAATTGTCTGTGAGGTTTTCTTTAATCAAATTGCTTTGGTACTGATAATTTTTTATAATATGTATGTAATCGAAAATACTATGTATTAATGATCAAGTGATCAACGATGTACATCGACAAGAATGCACTAATGTCTTTTTCATTGAAAATTCTAATATAGTCTTATGACTTTTGATTACCATAATTTTCTTAAAATGAACGTTTGAGATTGTTTGTTTTTTTTATTTATCTTTAGTTAGTAATTTTAATTAAAAATTATTTTTTTAATTATTTTATATATTTTTTAATTTCTAAAATTTCAAAAATATTAAAAAATAATTTCTGGCAGATTTTTAAAAATTAAAAAATAATATTTAAAATTTTTAAAAATTATGATAGTCAAAAGTTATAAGACTACATTAGAATCATCTCTTTTTCATGTTTATGAGTATAAGCACAAGGTGTAAATAATAAGGAACAACCCAAAATAGAATACCAGGCAAATGAATTCATTGGACAAAGCGAGTAATAAAAATATGTAGTAAAACAAAAACTCACCGATCAATTCTATCTCTGAGTTTTCTGAGGAAATTCTCAGTATCTTCTTGAATACCTTTGAGGAGAGATTCAATCAAAACTTTTTTCTCTTGCTTCCCCAACTTTTGAAGATCAATCTCCTTAATATCAACTTTCCCATCATCAATCACTAGCCTCAACAACCCTTTTCTTATGCTTGTATAAGTAGGCAGCCGCTGTAAAGCAGCCCACCTCCGCTCCACCTCCACCTCCTCCGCCTCCACCGCCCCGGCCTCTTTCTCCGTCGTATCATTCATACTATCTACATCACAACCATTATCATCACAATAGTTGGAATACGATATACATAACCCTTGTTGGCAAAGATACTATTACTGAAAAGGTTAAAATTTAAATCATTTGATATACTACCTTTATTTCATATTATTTGCAACGATTTAACATAAAGTGTGAGTAAAAAATGTCTAATTATTGTAAATTATATGAAACGGAGATAGTAGAAAAATAAAAACTCAAATTGACAACCAGCAAATGAACAACTTGTATCAACACAATAACGTACCTGGATGGGTTACTCTCATTACAACTACTTTGTACTTCGTTAGCTAAAATGTTTTTTTTTTTTTTTTTTCTTGTTTGTTTGGAAATATCGAAAGAAAAGTTAATATTGATGGTGTGCGGTGCACAGCATTTATATAGTGACTCGGTGAGAAGAAGCGGCAAAACATGTCCAACGTCTATTAAAAAGCAAACTTAGTATGCACCAAAAAAAAAAAAAAAAAAAAAAGCAAACTTAGTTGCCAAAAAAAGAATTTTACTCCGTATTTTCTTAATGCCAACTAGTTCAATTGCTATTAATTAAAATTCAAAAAGCAAACTTTATGGTAGTTGACATAATAAATATAATCAATGACAAAAAAAAAAACCCAAAGTTTGGATCCATGGGATTATTCGATTAGGAGTATAGGGGTTACTCTGTTATGGCTATACGGGTTACTTTGTTAGTAGTATAGGGGTTATTGTGTCAGTGTTATAAGACTTATTTTGTTATTTAAAAGTTGTTCAATAAGTACAATAAGTAATAAGGGGTTATTTTATCAGTATAATACATGTTACTTAACTATTATTATAGAGATTAATCTATTCTTTTTACAAGCGGGCAAACGGAGTAGTCAACCGCACTGAACACGCACTAGCAAATTAATTCAATTTCTATAAAGAAGCAAACTTAGTTGCAAAAAAAGGAAAAAAAACACAAATAAAGTTTGGATCCACACTTAATATTACTTCATCCGTTTTTAATACTTACAACACTTTTTTAAAATGTAAATGTCACAATACTTACAACACACTATGATTAGAATTTTCTTTTTTTAAAAAAAAAAAATAAAAAAAGTTGTACTATTACCCTTATTTTAACCTCATGACCCACTTAAGTATACTACGAGTATTAACAACCTCTCAACCCCATTATTTTAAGTGTTTTAAAATCCACTTTTCTTCCATTTCTTAAATACCGTGAAATCCACTTTTCTTAAATACCGTAAAAAAGTGTGTTGTAAGTATTAAAAAAAAAGAGGAAGTACTACAGTATGAACCAATTGCTACTCCGTATTACTCCCTCCATATTTTTTTTTTGAATCTACACTTGTTATTTTTGTCCATTTTTTAAAAGCTACACTTTCTCTTTTGGAAACCTTTACAATTTAATAATATATCTTTATCCACTAGTGGTCCCTACTCACTTCTTTTTTGTAATAAAGATTGGTTCATAAATAAAAAAATCATACGACATCTACAAAGAGATTTAAATTTAATAAATACATGACAATTGAATCAAATAAAATCTTCCTTTCAGCAGAGCTACGATCGTTGTTGCAAATCGTACATTCTTCATACCCTCTTTTATATCGCTGTGATTTACAGCCTTTTTCGACGGGGGGGTCTATCGATTTGTTGTAGTCGTGAAGAAAATTTTCGTCTGATTCATCAATTGTAATCGAAGGATTAACCTCTTTTTCGATCCCGCATATATCTTTACCCATAAAACAACTTGTCCCATACTAAACTCAAAAAACAAATACAAAAACAAAACTAGAACAAAGCCCACCATAGGGGCACTTTCTACGCTCAAACCCACTATAGGGGTACTTACTACCTTCAAAAAGTGATGATTTATTGAATTCAATAACAAAAACATAAAAAAAATAAAGGAAAAGGGGAAATCAACACTATAGGGGGAAATTTGACTATTTCCGGCATATGAAACACTTTTTTTGAAAACCTTAAAGAGAAAAAATAGAGAGGAGACGACTAGAGTTTTGGTCCCCACTCACTCTTACAGTCTTACTTTATCATTTTTCACTCCTTCAATGGTCCCTACTTCCTCTCACACCGTTTTACTTTTCAATAAAATAATAACCCGGTATATTTTTCTTACAATTTTTTATTACTTTATCCACTCTGCTAACATTTTATTTTATTACACACATTTTATTTTATTACTCCTCTTAAAACTGCGTACAATTCTAACTCTAGCTTAAAAAAAATAATAATAAATAAATAATAAAAAAAAATTAAAAAAAAGAGGGAATAATAAAAGAAACTTAGTTGCCAAAAATACGAGTAGAATTTTAAAAAGCAAAGTTTGGATCCAAATTTAATACAAGTATAATATGGCCCAATTGCAATCCGTCATACCCATTGAACACATGGTTAACTAAAGCAGCATCATTAAAGTCCATTTTTGCAAGGAAAAGCAAACCTACATCTCGTATTCGTAACTGTAATACCAAGCTTTCGAATATCTATGTATGTTAGGCCTTAGAGGAGTTAGAGCCTAGTGGTAGAATATATTGGCAAAATAAATTAGTGTGTAATAATTTTCATATTAATATTAAGAGAATAACACATCTTTAATTCTTTATGATTTAATCATATCTTCTTCTCTTCTTTAAAAAAGTATTAGAAAATACTTATTAATAGTATGAGGACAATTATATCCTTAAAATATTTGTTTACCTATATGTCCATATTAATATGATGTTAATTGTATTTAAGTTTTTCCTTGTGTGATTTGTTAGTTTAACTCTTATGAATAGTGTTTGGACAATTATATCCTCTAATATGTTTATTTGCTTATTAAAAAATAAAAACTTTTAAGAATAGTGTGTGGATATTTATAAACCTAAAAATATGTATTTACATACTTTCCCTCATTATGTTGTCAACAACTGAAAGGGCTCTCAGGAATTGGCTAACTATAACGCGCACATCGTGTGCGTTAACCACCCTACTTATGTCAAAATTAGATATAGTGTAACATATTCCCATCAGTCCACTCCTAGGAAAATTGTTAAACAAATTACTACATCCGTTTCATATTTTTTACAACTTTAGAATATTTTATATCTCACAAATAATACCCCAAAGTTGCAAAAAATATAAAATGGAGGTAGTATTATATGTGGCTAGCCACATGATGTAAACATTTCACATATAATTAATTAATTAAGTAAAGGGGGTTACCAGACAATTGTCAAATGGGGTTACCTTAACGGGTAAGGGGTTATCATTAATAACATAATGGAAAAATAGGGTTACTTTTATAAATAAGTGCAGTTTTTTTATAGTAAAAATAAAATAAGGGGAGTTACTCGGGGTTACTTATTTTTTAATTTTTTCAAACAAAAATTTTAGGGATTAGTCGTCTAGTATACCCAAATACCCAACCCAAAAATATTTAATGAAATTGAGTGAGGATATTAAAGTAATTGTAGATGAACACTATAGCCTTCTCGATGGGCTCATATAATAGAGATATGTTCTCTCTTTAAACTCATAAAATTTATTCTTTCTCTAAGTTTATATGACTCTCCTATTTCACTCTCTAGATATATATAACCCATTTTCTCTTTCCTTTTTCACTTTCAAACTTTATTCACCATTTTGTGTATGATGAGAATTTATATTATAACTTTCAATTTTGATTTATTTTTACTCATTTTATTACATAATTATCGCAACACTTTAACTGACACAAATGTTAATTCATAACTTTGACTAACACATAAGCCAATACATAATTTTGACCATTAATATTTGTAATTATATATTATTAAGAAGTATAAAAAGTTAATATAATAAAAATATATATGAAAACTTATCCAAAAGTATTTTTCATGGCAACATATGTTTTTTATATATTGGTAAAAAGTATAGTCAAAGTAAGCATATGGACAGTACAAAAGTCAAACTATTGCAATTATTACGAAACAAAAGAAGTTTGATATTCTATACTTTTAAGTTTTTTTTATTCTTTTTTGTTTGGTGAGATTCAATAGTAAATGAGCAATTTAGGGTATAAATTTCTGATTTTATTTTCATATGCTTAATTGGTAAATTAAAGTTTTTTTTAACAAAATTTTATATGTGGTTGGCCACACCGTATGGCCGGGGTTACTTCTTTCATAAGTAACTCCTGACCGACTAAGTAACCCCTATAAGTAACCTCTAACTCACTGAGTAACCCCTATAAGTAACCCTTGACCGATTGAGTAACCTTGAATAAGTAACCTTTATAAGTAAAAAAACACCTCTTTTTTTTTTCCTTACGAGACTAAGATATCTTGTTTAAATATTGATGATTCTCAAGATTTCAACCCGTGAAACCACGAAAGAATATTTTGTGTAATTGATTCTATTCATTATTTATCAATAAATACTACATACAAAGAGAGAGTGAGGGATATCTCAGTTGGTTAAGTTTTCTTCCCGATTTCAGAGGATTCTAATATCGATTGCCATAAGCTAGCTAGCTAGGACTGTTCATTGATCCAAGACCGGACCGGACCGGACCAAAAACCGAAAAATTGAATTTCAAGAACCGAAAATCGGACCGATTAAGCTAGGACCAAACCCAGACCGGACTGAAAAAATTGGTCCAAAATCCGGTCTGGACCGATTTTAGAATTTTTATTAAATTTTAAATATTTTATGGAAAACTTGAAAAAAAAAAAAGGAAAAACACTATTTTAACGTCTTTTTTTGTATGTATAGTTCAAAAAACCTTATACGACTAAAGTTTTTCAAGTTTGTTAAGGATAATCTGAAGCATTATTAAAGATATTATGTATAATTTTAAGGAAAAAACCGGTCCGGTCCAAAATCGGTTTTTATACGGTTTTGGACCGACCGAAGACCGGAAAAATAAATTTCTCGACCCGGAGACCGGACCGATTAATTTGGTCCAGTCCGGGGTCAGTCCGGACCAGTGCGGTCCATTATTCCAGTTCGAACCAATATTTAAACACCTCTACCATCAGCCATGCACCCAAAAAAAAAAAAAACCTTATACAAGGAGAAGATTAGTGTTATTAAAGTATATGATGGACCTGGCCCATTTAGCATGTTATGGACATCTAGCGTTTTATGGACCATGAACAACAACGTATATAAATTCTCATTGTTTGATATCCATAGTATTATTCGACTATCAATGAAACTACTTTAAATTTCTCAATGAAACTACTTCTAAATTTCTCAATATTTACCATAATATCAGCTTCCATAATTTATGAGGGATTTTGGCACTATATGGTAAATATCATTTTTAAAAAAGAAAAATTGTCGGGAATAATCCCATCTTAGGGTGTCCGCTAAAAATAATCTCACCTTTGGATTATTTTTAAATAATCCCACCTTTATACCCAATCAGATCCCAAGTGACCGATTACCTGTTAAAAT